TAATATAGGGGAATTGACAGTAAATCCATTTTAAGTGGACTTGCTAATCCATAATGGTCCTAAAATGCTTTCTTAGTGACTGGATGGTCCCTTAATTTGTTTGTTGACAAGTTTTGCCACTGCCAGTAATTATTGATTGACCATTTTGGTGTGGGTTTGGTATGGGATAAGGTGATGGGTGTTTGTGTGTCACGCTGATCGAAAAACACACTAATACTATTTTAATTTAGTAAGTGTGTAAGACTCAAAACATGAACGTGGTGGTTTGTGCACGTAACCAAGTAATTTGACATTTATTTTTTTTTTGACGTGGATTGTGTCCCTTTCAGCTTCCATCAGTTTGACCCTTTGTTTTCCATTGCATTTGTGACGAATCGACTGAACTCACCGTACCACCGATTCCACCGATTCTCATTCTCAATCTCACCGATTCTGTCTGTGGTCCTCCCGATTCACAGTTTGGTTCTCAATCTCAATGCTCAGTTTTGGTTCCACAGTTGGTGGTTCCACACTGGCCACAGTTCCTCGCACAGATCTCTTCTTTTCGCACCCTTGAAAACCCCAATTTATCCATCTCCATCTTCGAGCCCTGGTGTTTGATTTATTGGAATCTAATATTGTAAGATTTGAGAGCGAAGAAGATAATAGGCTTTGGTTCGACATTGACTTGAACCTAGGGTTTAGATTCTCTGCTTCCTCCCCTTATGGTAAGCCCAAAAACGTCCGAATCTTGGCTGGCGTCGCAGAGAGTCCGCTGAAGATTGAATTCGGCTAGCTCTCTCAGTCGTGCGAATGTGGATTCTGAAAGAAACTACAAAAAATGTTGAACTAATGTCTGTTGAAATATGAAAATGGAGAAGAAACTGAGATTGTTGGGGAAAAACAGGACATATCAGAGATCACGACTATCGAACGTCAGTGCTTGAGATGAACAGCGATCGAGTCTCGGCAGAATCGGTAGGCTTAACGAAGTAAGCATTAAGAAGAAGAAGGCATATATGTGAGGGCATATTATTTGTCCCCCACATAACAAATATAATTTAAAAAGGAGTTATAAGAAGATAATCTCTACTATTATGGACTGCCCAATCAAAAAAATTATTTATGGAACCAATTGAAATAGCATTCTCACCATATGGACTTTCTTTGATAAATTCCCCTTATATATATTATAATTATGTGTATTATATAATATAAATATATTATAAAGTTATTAAGTTAGATAGGATTGAATCAATCAGAAAAAGAAAAGAAAAGAAAAGAAAGAAAGAGAGGTTGGTAGCAAGCAAAAGCCACGGGGGAGACGAGAGGAGCGAAATACAAAAAGAGATCTAAGCTGTGTGTGGAGAGAAAGAGAGGAAGAAAAGAGTTAGGTTATTTTGGTGGCTCATTAAATTTTTTAAGTGATTCTTTGACTCTTAAAAAAAATAATTGTGAATACAAGAACTCTTCTTATTATGTTTAATTCGTTGTTTTTATTTATTTATTTTTATTTATTTTATTTGATGTATTTGATTGTTTTTTACATAAAGATGATAAATTGATTTTAATTATTTTAATTAGTGGTGTATATAAGGTTTAGGATTTTTAGATGATTGATTGATTTTTAATTATTTTGATTAGTTGTGTATGCAAGGCTTAGGGTTTTTTATATGGATTTATTTTATGGTTGTAATCACACTCTGGTTATATGAAATTAAAATTAGTTAAGAACCCATAGATAAATTCCTTATACTCCACTATGACTCCATGGATTGTTGTTTATTTGAGTGTTGGTGAGAAAGAAGTAAAAAAAAGAAGGAAAATTATGAGATTTATTTGAATGCCTTAGGCTTGGCATTGTTATGTTTATTCTCATGAGTGAGATGTTTTGTATATTATATTGTTGCTTCGTTCTCATGAGTAAACGAGTGTTTTGATTTACGCGTCGTACGTATATACTAACCTACCGGGAGTGTGGGTCAAACTCGGGACGATATCCCCATGCAAGTTTGGCTTCGAAGCGGTGTTAGGTATACGGGAGCACATGGGATATATGTTGTAGGCCGGAAGTGGAGGCGGAAGTGGTGGAGTTAAGGTACAAAGAATTTAATTATGAGTTTATGGTTTAGTGTGTATTGTATTGATTTGTACAGGTTGAAAAATAGTAAACGACCTCATAAATTATGAAATTTGAGCAAGGCATGATACATGATTCTAGACAACTTTTGTTTTTAAACTTTTTATTAAAAAGATCGATTAGAACTTATAATCGGATGATCTTGATTATAGTAGTTTTAATTCATTTTGGCAAATAGACTTTAGATGTTGTTTTAACCACGAAACGAGCTCATTTTTATTGGTTTCGCGAAAAATTAAGTAAAACATTATTCTGCACACTTTTCGTGTTTTAAACTTTTGAAAAAAACATCTTAAGACAGTTTCTGTTCGTTTTCAGTTTCAGATTTTTCGTTGAAATCCGTCTAGGTTCTTCTATCAAGTTTTTTTTCTCAATCTGTTTAGTTTCTACTATATTCGTTCGCGTGCATTTTAGAAAATTTGATTATGTACAACTTTTGTTTCTTTGAGTTTTGGTCAATTCATTATTTAAGCATGAAACGGTGCATTTTTATACTTCTGTAGCAAATTATTATGATTAAATATACTAACTTTATTTTGCAGGATGGTGGGTCTTACTAACTTTTTAGCAGGGCTGACCCACCATATTTATTTTATTTTTTTATTTTATATTCAATTTATATTTCGTTTGTGTATGGGCAAAAACTAAATGCCACCGTATCTCGAAAACTACCTATTCGTCTCGGTGCGATGGAACACTACTTGTCTTGTCCCGTAACAAGAATTTAAATGTATTTTTGTTTGTGTCTGGAACACTTGGTGTGTTAAATCTTTCTCATACCATATACTTGTATACTGACCCGTTTTGTCTCTTGGCAACTCCGTGCGTTTTGTTTGAGCGAGCCGAGCTTCCTTGCAGGATTAGTTGAGGCTATGGTGGTGACAAAAAATAACTATGATCGTAGGACATGTCGTTTAGACTTCTTTTTTTTCTTAAACTTAGGGTCGATATTAGTTTTATTATTATATTATTTTTTTTTATGACTTTAGTATTGGAATAATTTGGCATGGTTTGTAACTACTTTATTTAAGTTGTTTTAACTAGTTGTTGCTACCTTAATGTTGAGGTATTGGTTAGTTATGAGATTATGGGTGGATGGTTTGGTTGGCGTTTAGTTTTAGTTTTTTTTTTTTGTTTCACCCCTAGGATTTGGATGAATGGATATATTGATTGGGGTTTTAGTCCTAATTTAATATTTAATTATCCAAATTTCGAGGCGTGACAGTTTGGTATCAGAGCTCTAAGGTTATCCTAGACTTGTGAGAGTTTAGGTGATCATCGGATAATGGAAACATGGGTTGCTGGTTTAGTTTGGTGGTTGAGTTTATTCTAAGTATTTATGAACAAATTCTTTTTGTGTTTACTTGAAGGTGATGGCTGGAAAGTATCTTTAATTTTTTTTTAAGACCCCATTAGAGTACTTTTTTATATTGGGGCCTCTCATTCTTTTATATTAGACAGTTTGAGAAAGAGAACGTATTGTACTACCTCCTTGTCTTAGACCTATTCGTGTTGAGACCCTTTTAGGAGGGGCATTACTCTTTATGAGATGTGTAAAAATTTTGAATTGACTTTGTGGGTAGAGTCTGTATGTAGACTTATTGTTTTAAGGGTTTTAGGGTTTACAATTATTTTGGGTATGGATTGGCTGCAAATTACTTTGTGACTTCTAGATTGTGTTGAAGGTTGTAATTATAGAATATCTCCGTATGCCACGCTTACCCACCTCTTCTA